AACGTACACGTAAGGCGTATCGACGTGAGGCGTATATTGGCCGATAATCGCAACGCCGACGTATTGCTGCGTCCCTTGCTGCACACAAAGAGGAACTCGGAATGCTGAAGGAAGAAAGATATTTAACTGTAGTAGAACTGAAATCCGGGTGAGTTGGAACTTATCCATAATTCACACAAAAGAAGGAAAGACAGTCATGTTTCCTTCTTTTGTGTGTGTCCCTTTGGCGCTGCCCAATTATGGAAGAAAGATGAGCCACAAACTTTGCTTCCTGTTTTTTTTTTTTTTTCAATATGATGACGTTTCTAGCATGTGCTCCGGCTATTGCTTCCGAAACACATCCATTTGGGCTAGTTGGTAACGCTTCATTTTAAATGCCAGAAGTAGGGCTCAGTAAAGAGAAGAAAATTTGTGTCGTCTTTCAGTTCCTGTTATGTGCTGCGCCCCACTTAAAATGAACTGTTTCTGTTTGGACATCGTGATATGAGAGCCATGAAATTAAAAGTTGATAAGCGAATTCTTCTCCTAATCTAAGAAAGCTATGTATAGGCGTTGGTTGTATTCAGCGCATTTCGCTATTACCTGATTGATAGTATAAATATGGTCTATTGTGAAGTAGCCCGGGTACAGAATCCTGCTTGGTGCTTTGGTTGATTGAACTCTAATATCGCATTAATTGTATTGGCTATTATTTTTGTGAATAGTTTGTAGAGAACTGACAGTAAGCTGATCGGCCTGTAATTGTTCTTCAAGTACTTGACGCCTTTTTTCTTGTGGACGAAGATGATGCTGGTGTTTTTCCCAAGATTCTGGTACCCTTCCCGAAGTGTCAAGAGACACTTCGTATATAAGGTGGATAGTTTTTCTAATACCATTTCTCTGCCATCTTTCAGGAGGTCTGTTGTTACCTTATCCTCACCAGGGGTTTTGCCTTTTTTCATTCCTTCTAGGGTGTTCCTTACTTCCCCTGTCATTACTGGTAGGACGTAGAATTCCTCTGGTCCATTATTGTTTCTCATAATATCATCCTGGTTCTTTTGACATCTGTACAGCTCTATGTAGAACTTCTCCGCCATCTCGCCTATCCTATCCATATTGGCTATAACATTGCCTTCCTTGTTCCTCAATGCATACAGCGGATTTTAGGCTTCTGCCGCTTTTTTACAGCCTCTTGAATTACTTCTATGTTATAGCTCCTGATGTCGGCTACCTCACGCCTATTAACTTCGAAAGCTCCACTAGCGCTATTTTGTCAGTTGCATTTGAGGCTTTCATCGTTTGTCGTCTCTTAATGAGATTTTTCGTCTCCTGAGATAGTTTACCAGTTTCCTGTCCAGTGACTGTAACTCGAACTTCAACTGCACACTCTTTGACGCTATTAGTAAGATTATCGTTCATTGTGTCAATGCTAACGTCGGTTATCTAATTTAGTGTCTCAAATCGATTCTTAAGCGAAACTCTGAATTCCTGTATTTTCCCTCTCACCGCCAGTTCATTAATTGGCTTCTTGCGTATCAGTTTTTGTCTTTGCTTTTTAAAATCTAGGTGAATACGAGCTCTTACCATTCTATGATCACTGCATCTGATCTCGCCAACTACTTTTACATCCTGTAAACTACCTGGGTGTGCACGCAGAATGAAGTCTATTTCATTTTTAGTTTTGCCATTGGGACTTCGCCACATCCACTTGGCCTTTGGCTCAGTCGAGACATCAGCAGTAATGCAGACACTACGAAATCAGGGCATCGACAAACCCTACATAAACATACTGGAAGAAATGTACAGAACATTAACAGCCACCATAATTCTTTATAAAGAAAGCGACATAATACCAGCAAAGAAGGGTGTAAGGCAGGGAGACATAATCTTTCCAGTGCTATTCACGGAATTTTCACAGGAGGTATTCAGGACGCTATAGATTGGGAAGAGTTAGAGATAAGAGTTAATGGAGAGTATCTTAGCAGCCTGCGATTTGCTGATGACATTGCCTTGACGAGTAACTCACGGGACGAATTACAGCTCAAAATTACTATACTGGACACGGAAAGCAGAAAAGTAGGTCTAAAAATTATTATGCACAAAACTAAAGTAATGTGCAACAGTATCGGCAAGAAACAGCACTTTGCAATAGGTTGAGAGACGCTGGAAGTTGTAAAGGAATATGTCTACTTGGGACAGGTAGTAACCGCGGAGCCGAACCATGAGAGTGAAATAATTAGAAGAACAAGGATGGGGTGGATCACATTTGGCATGCATTCTCAAATCATGAATGGTAATCTGCAACTAAACCTCGAAAGGAAGTATATAACAGCTGCATCTTGCCAGTGCTTACCTGCGTAGCAGAAACCTGAAGGCTTACAAAGAGGGTTCAGATTAAATTGAGGACGACGCAACGAGCGATGGAAAGGAAAATGATAGGCGTAACCTTAAGAGACAAGAAGAGGGCAGAGTGGTTCAGAGAACAAACCGGGGTTCAGGATATCATAGTTGAAATCGAGAAAAAGGACGTGCACCGGGCACGTAGTGCGTAGGCGAGATAACCGCCGGTCATTAATGGTAACCTACTGGATTCCCAGGAAAAGCAAACACACGAAGGGGAGACAGAAAGTTCGGTGGGCTCATGAGATTAAAAAGTTTGCGGGTGTAACGTGGCAACGTAAAGCACAAGACTGGTTTGATTGAAGGATCAAGAGAGAGAGACATTTGCCCTGCAGTGAGCATAGTCAGGCTGATGACGATGAAGCGAATTATTCATCCATGAATTTCGGTTTCAAATGCTGCTTTATATAATCAGATTGAATGAGTAGATATATGTCATTGGTGATTTTTGAGCATTGTGTCCGTGGTACAGTAAAGCAAATGTCATGCATGTGTGTGCGCCGTTTATGTAGCACTCGGGGACAGCTGTTGTGTCCGTCAGACGCACGTTGCATTTGCGGTGGTGAAGCCAAGCGGCAATGGAGAAGGTTTGTGCTAATTCGTATCGTTAAACTACCTAGGAATAATAGCGTGGAAATAATGAGCATGCCGCTTACGTAGCTGACGCACTATAGTTCACTGTATACATTAATCCTTCACATACAAAAGACTAACCGATATTCTGTGGGCAGCCACGGGCGAAACACGCTGGCCCAAAGTATACGAAAGTTCAACCCCAGTTTTATTAATTAATTAAATAATTAATTTAGAAATACTGCCAATATCAAGTGAGATCAAGGCAGGAAAAGGGGGGCTACAGCAGAATACATAAAAACAGTAAACATATTATAACTAAGCTGTACAACAATGCATTAAAAATGCAAACAAAAGGTAACTAAAGGTTATGCAATATAAACACCATTCCACTAGAAAGAAGAGTAACAGAAAAAAATACCATACATAAAAATAGATATGCACACAAATATATCAGCACAACTTAACCGTGCTGTGTCAGTAAAGCTCCGCCTGTGGGATTCCCCACAGCCTGACTTCCCATAAGATTAACCAAACGGCGTCCAAATACGACGGCACTTACTGCTGTAGAAACAATGATATTCGTACTAACAAATAGACCCAAATTGTTCTAGAATGTTCTAGAATGCGAGTTATACGACAAAACCTGATAGGTTGTTAGTTTTATTGTACATACGCAGTTTTTGCGCAGATGCCTGTATGTTTTGGTGTGTCTCAACTCCTTTGTCCGCATTAATATTTTGATGTTTTGTACACAGTCGTCTTGGTCGTGCCCCACTGTATCTCTGACGCAATTCTTTCGTTTCATATATACATATGTCAACCTAAAACGAAAGAAATTCGTGTCAAAGACCACGTTATGCTACACAGTGTCCGAAACGTATAGCTTTTCTTCTGAATAGAAGCTGTTTTCGCACATCTGCCACTACTATGAAAACTTCAGTAGAAGTGAAAGGGATTGATTGATTGATTGATTGATATGCGGGGTTTAACGTCTCAAAACCACTTTATGATTATGAGAGACGCCGTAGTAGAGGGCTCCGAAAATTTCGACCGCCTGGGGTTCTTTAACGTGCACCCAAATCTGAGCACACGGGCCTACAACATTTCCGCCTCCATCGGAAATGCAACCGCCGCAGTCGGAATTCGAACCCGCGACCTGCGGGTCAGCAGCCGAGTACCTTAGCCACTAGACCACCGCAGGGTGAAAGGGAGCGATTCGATGAGAATATAGACGAAAATACGTCGACGTTCGGCCAAGCTGGCTGCTTTACCCGAGATTGTGTTCATGTGGCTGACAGCACCGCCCTGTTCTTGGTATGCTGTTGAATTTAGGGAGAATCTTGTTTGTGTGCTCTATCGAATGATAATGACACAGCGAAAAAAAAACGATGATGAGTGAAAAAAGCAAGAAAGGTTCACCAATGAAGCATAGACAGATTGTGTGATATCCATCATAGAATAACACCCCCCCGAAACTCTGAGGAGGACACAGATTGATTAAAAGAAATAGCAAAGTATGAAGAACGCTTAAAGGAGATCGTAAGAGCGCCAGTTCATTGTGGGGGGAGGCCTATCCGCTCGCCTTTGTAAACTCGCATCACGTCGGCGAGTGGTCTTCGAGGCGATAGAACCGTCGTGTGTGAAATCTTCAGAGCGTCACTCCCTGAAGGGGGCATAAAATGAATACAATTGGATGTTGTGGTGTAGGCACCAAAAGCTTCACTGTGTCTGAATGGCATGTAATGAAGAAGAGCTTTTGCGTCGGTTGCTGCCGGAGGCCGAGTGCGCGTCGCTCATGACTCAGTTATAACTGCTGTGTCGGCAATATATGCCTGACGCCGATGCTGAGCGTTATCCAGCAAGTTTCGCCGTGACTCCAGCTTTTTATTTTCCCTAAAGATAGGATAGGAGCGGCCGAACACTAACGCCGATCACAGACGCAGAAGTGCATCCTCTGAAACCCGCAATCGTCCGTTTGTAAGAGTGGTTCAACCTTGCGCAAAATCGGATGCTCAAGAACGAGGCGATCACAAATCGGAGCGAACCTTTGAGGAGAAGGCACAGCGTCAGAAAGAGTGGCGAATCCGGGGTCGAAACGGGAGGCCAACACGTTGGTCCTGTCTAGACGACCGCGCAGCAGGCTGGCAACAAGCTCCACGGCGGCGGCGCAGACGTCCTCTGATGCCTGCGCGACGACGTCGTCTCCGCCGCCTTGGCCGGTTCGCTCGGGGAAGCCTGCGGAGGTCCGATGGCTGCGGTCAGGGCGGCAGCCACCAGACGCGCCGCGAGGTGGGCCTCGGCCCTGAGTTGCTTGCGTGCGCTGGCCAGGGCGTCGCGCACCAGGCGACCGGCCAACGGATCAAGTCGCTGCTCGTCCGGCGGCATCGCGTCCATCGATCCGCGCCGACCGTTGCTGTGGCGGCGCTGCCGTCGCGTCGTTTCCTCAACCGTCCGCATCATACGAGTTTCATACTTCCAGAGCTGACAAGCACTATCGACCGCCGGCCGATGGAAACCGTACCCGGCATGCTGATGTAGTCACAACTGTAGACTACGACGGACGTCAAGGCGTCGTGAGTGCAGCGGCGGATCCAGAGTTCGGGGTGGCCCCTTTCTCCCGAGACCTCCCATCATTAATTAAGACAAACGAGTGAGCAGGTGGGAACAGTATATCTGTTATGATGTGTGCTTTTGTGCTTCTAAAAACAAAGCTAGGGGCTCCCTCCCGCCTATCCGGTTTCACTTAAAGCGAACCCCCTCGCTTTAAAATGAGTGTCTGGATCCTGCCCTGCGTGGGTGCCGCAGAAGTCCATCCGAGGAATATCATCCCTTGCTGAAATATGCAGACATGGGATGAACGTGTGGACTCAGGTTCTCATAGGCTGGCCCGCACCACTCGGGTGATGAAAAGAGGCTCATCTGAACACACAGATTTAAACGCTCGGTGGCGGATAATCCGGCTGTCATCGCGGGCTGGCTGCTATCAAGGGCACTTCGCAGTGACGGTCGGCAAGTAATCTCGGCAATTCACCAATCTGTATAATGCGCGCGTGGCATAAGACAAAGCGAACAACGCGAGGAGAATGTCTAATGCGTCCATGGTGACATGTTGTTCAGTGTACACGTGTCCAGTTTTGTTTCAATGTCAGATTTTCAATGTGAGAATCCGCGTTCGGGGGCTTGTGTATGCAGTGGCTGTTAAACATGTCGGGCTTACAACCACTGATCGGCCAACCGATCAGTTGTGAAAGCCCCCGACTAAGTATCGAACGCGCATTCTCAGAATAAAATAGTATTCACTTCAAACGCCCATTGCTTTCTTTTGGCGACACTGCCTGGTACACCATCAAAGCGAGACAGCTTCTTAATTAAGAAACCCCCTTTTCTGCCCGCGCCGACTCGCTGGGGCCTTGGGACACTGTCTCACGCGGTAAAAGAAAGAGGCCAATTGACAGTCCCACAGAGCCCAGGCGATGGACGCCTGATTAGTGACGGTCGGTCAAAAAAGAAAGGGCTTCCACGACACGCGAGTCCTTACCTTAGCCGGGCACCGTCTACACTAAAGGGACCGCCACCGAAATACACTGAATGCAATGCCTACAAGAAAATAAGCACTCACGACGCGACTTGCATAGCGCAGTGGCCCCGCCGCGGTAATTTAATGGCTAAAGCACTCGGCTGATGACCCGCAGGTCACGGGATCGAATCCATCCATCCATGCGGTGGCTGCATTTACGATGGAGGCGAAAATGCCCGGGTGCTCATATTTGGGTGCACGCTAAGAACCCCAGGTAGTCTAAATTTCCGGAGCCCCTCCACTACGGCGTCTCATAATCAAATGGTGGTTTTGGGAAGTTAAACCCTACGTATCAATAAATGCATAACGCAGTGATCCCTGGAAAACTTTTTTCCTTTTATTTTTCAATTCACATCTTTTTTTTCTTTTCTTACCTGTTTTTTAGACTTTTTTCTGTCTGCCGTTTTTTTCCTCTCATTTTCGCGCGCAAAATATTTTAAATGTGAGCGCGAGCAGTACGATACTCTTACCAGCTTAGAACGCAACACACAAGTTACCGAAGGTTTTTTCAGACGTGATAAGAGTTGAAAAAAGTAACAGCGTTACCACAAGGACGACGCAATTAATGCGTGGAGCATTCATTGTTTGTCAAGCAGTGCCTGTGCCTTGACGAGAGACAATCGTTGGAGCGACAAGTGATTTGCACGGCCCGTTAACGTTGCACATCATATCAGGTCCGATGACCAGCCCTTCAAAACAGACAGGAATTTTACAGTAAATGTTCGATTTCCTGTTAAAAAGTGGTGTGGTCGGAAGGCTTTGACGATTGGCTATTTCATAAAGAAAGATTTCAACTTACCCTTTTTTTAATTAAGTATGTGTCAGGTTATCTTTCACATTTCATATATATTCTTTCTTCGCGTTATTATTTTCTCTCCTACTTTCCGTAATCTTTTAATCCCATTTTCATACAGAGGAGCAGGATATGTCAGTGATTGTACCTGCGCCTGCAGAAAGATGTTTTCCCAGTAAAGTCTCTCTCTAAATGACTGCTTGTTTCACCCGATTCAATAAAGGTTATCTGTGACTAGGCGTTCGTCTTATTGATTTCGTGTCCCTTAGCGCATGAGTTTTTAAGAATTCAGGTCGACGTGGCTGTTGCTGTACCACTAGCGGAGTTATCGTGCATAGTAAATGACGGCAGTGGTATAGCTTTGCGGCCGGCGAATTCGTTCGAGCCAAGCAGTCGCGTATCAGAGGACGGCAGCTGTTGTCGCTCGGATATGTAGTCTAATCTTGACTACCGCTCTCTTCAAACAGATAGCGAAGGCGCGAATGACTTTGCTCAATGGAGTGTTTTGCTCTTATCGCACTTTTCGAGACGAAAACTCAGAGGCAAACGGAATAACTGGAATGGCAGAGTAAGCGAATATATCTGGTTGTTTGAAGCCTCGTATCTGAGACAAAGGTGCGTACCGATTGGGACACGAGCACGTGACATCCATGAGGCGTTTTGCATTCACAAAGAAGGTGACACGTGCGTGAGCTCCTCCGTTAGCGCCCCTCACCAGGGAAGTTGCGTATTTGTCAAGTGGATGAATGCTTCCGGGTCACAGTTTTTTTTTTCAGACGCATACAAATATTTCGTTAACAAAGGTTCCACGTCACTGTTCTCTCTCTCTGTTCATGTTGCGTACATACAGCCCGATGTGTGGAATAAAAGCTTGGTAGACAGCGCTTCGTCCGTCTCTTTCACTGTCTGGTGTTTCGCGCTGTTTTTCGTTCGTCGATCCATTCGGACATTTTACGGCCCGAAGTCACGTTCTGTTTGTGAACGGGCATGGAGGAGCAATAGCTCATTTCCTAGTTAGACATAATTAGAGCAACGAAACCAACTGTTCTAAAGTGCCAAGGAAGGGACATTACTTGTAGTCTTCTACCGTAGTGTAGTAACGGTGATGTAAAAAAATTGTATACGGAATCGAATGAAAATAACATTTCCGCTGGTAGGTCAATGCCAACCTACAATCTTTGCATAGGTCCCTACCGGTGGCGGTGTTGTTTCGAACACTTTCAATCCAGAATGAGAAAAACAAAAACGGCAGATCCGGCATGTGAGAAACAAAGGAGACCCGGACCCGATTGTCTGGCTACGTCGAAGGTCAAAGAAACAACTGCCCGCCGCCCCTTCTTCCTTCTTTATTTGCAACACGGTACGTTGAGAATCGATGTCATGCGCATGAAGGTGACTGTGTAGTAATTTTTTTATTGAGCGAAACGTTACGAAGTGGCGCTAAAGAAATGTGTAAATACGCGCACAGACATACGTTGAATAGCCGCATCTGTTTTATATGACCAGTTGCTTACAGTTGCGTAAAGATGGCAACAGTAAGATGGATATTAGCCACAGAAGCGGTGAGCTGATATGAAGCACTGCAACCAGAATTTACGTGTCGCAAACATAAGGTCTGTTTGAAAAGCAGTTCCGATTCCGACGTCCCTGGAGCTGGCGAGCAGCGCGCCGCCTGTTTCCGGTATTTCTTCCGCAACGTCATTTTGACGCCCCGCAGCTAGCTTTCACAACTGTCGACACAAATGAGAAAAATGGAATGCGGTTCGCCACAACGAATGCTGCCCCCAGAGATCCGCTTTTGGACGCAGAAATTTGAAGACGTGCATGAACATTAATCACGTTAGCCCTTAAATTAGGTTTAACGCGGCCGTCCACCTGCCGCCGCTGAAACGTCGGCACACATTCCGTCTATCGCTTTTCAAAGATCTAAACACGTTCATACGCACGTTCAGACCTGTCAAGCTCGTTTTAAGAGTCCTGTTACTGTATATTCCGTACACTTAGTTTTCCTTTTTACGCTGGGAATGTGCTGGCGGGTTCGGTGCGTCGACGTAAAGTGCCTTAATATAAAGTACCGACACTCTCCTCCTTATCCTCTCCAAAGTGACCAACCCTTCTCTCCCAACTGTCCGAACTATATCCTCCCCCGAACAGGGAAGCCAAAGCAACGCATGGTGGCGCTGCGGCTCCGGACAAGCTAAAGCCCATATAGGCGGTTTCAAGATTGCAATCGTTGAGCCCCCCAAAAACTTCTGGCAACCTCATTTACCAGCTCGTAACGTTGAAACTGAAAGGACATTTTCACTTTTTTTTCAATGGTAAGGAAGGTCTCTTAATAGTTTTTCAGATAAAAAAAAAACATCAGTAATGTTCAAGGCAGTCTCTTGTAGTATTTATGTAGCTCAAAAGAACATTTATTTGAATACATTTTCCCAAATGACGAAAGAAAAGTGTAGAAAATTAGCGGGCTATTTTCTAACGCTCTTCTTGCACACCTATGCTATTCAGGCACATCGGTGGATGATACCGGAAGTCATCAAGGGTCTGTGTTTGTAAACAGTGAAATGGTCTATACTCGGCGACAACTTTTGCGGCAGCACAGCCAAGGATACGAAGCCCTAACACGCCCTTTTTTGCTACGCTTCTGCATGTAGTCCACGAACGCTAACACAGCATCACCTGTGTAGGTTTCTCGTTCTTTGGTGTTTCTAGTTTTCTGACTTCCTAGCACCATTTCACCTTTTCCCTGCCCCGGTAAATAGCAATGGCGTCGCTCGGTGGCAGAAAGTTCACATCGAGCCTTGTGATCGACATAGGCTGTGTTCCAATTTTTAGACAACAGGTAGACAGTCTACGCAGACTGCTTAGAAGACAGCACCGAGCCCATGCTGTCGGAGAATGGGAAACTTTTGAACGGCTTTTACGCGACGATGCGCCACCTCATGTCGAGAAGAAAAAGCTAAAATAAACAAACGTAACAG